CGATTAGCTCGTTCAAGTCGCCGCTGCAGTCGGGAATGTCGAAGTCGAAAATGTACACTCCATTTTCGAAGCTCGCCCGATCTGCTTGCGCGTCCGGTTCGGCGCGGTGTAGTGGAGCAAGATGTCGCGCGTCTCTGGGTTGGTGCTGAGGTCAACTCCCCAATCCATGAGTTGCGCCGCCGAGAGGAGATTGATCGCAGATTCTGCACGATCAACACGTCGTTCAGCGTGATGTGCGTCCTGCTTCCCCATGCCTTGAGAACCACGATGCCTGCCGCGCTTGCGCGAAGATGTGTGTTGTTCGCCACAGTTACATAAGTGGCTGTGGGGGTGGAGACGGCGTTGGATATGCAACGCTCGGAGCCCACCATATGCTGCCCACAGCAGCTATTCAGGTACCACGTGTTGTAGCGTCTGTTGTCGTCGCGCGCGAGCATCGCCAATCGCGGGGACAATGTGCGGTGTGTCAAACTTGAGAAATTGTCAGCGCGAGATCCAATCGATCGGTGCCGCCCGCGAATCACGTACGTGTGGGGGGCTTTCAAGCAGCGGGACTGGAAGTATCCAGTCCTGATTGTCGTCGTTGCTGAAATCATGGCGGTGGTAAACGGATTGTTATCTGTGAAAGCTCCGATTGGGTGGCGTGCTGGCTTGGGTGACGGCGTGCGCACATGGCGACGGCGAGATCTACTCGTGAGAGTCATGGTCATATTGCGGATGATGTTGCGGGCAGAAGCAGGCTGTGAAGGCTGCAGCAGCTGATGCTGAACCGTGGGGTTCAGGTCGCACGATGGGGGTTGGTACCGCTGGGCTTGACGCGTGTCGTTCCGAGCGTCTTGTCGGCCTGTCCAAGTGCTCGGATTGGACTGGCGAGGGCCGGATAGAAATTTGCATCGCTTGGCTTGTCAAAATGTGTTGGCATATTTTATATAATCGTTTGAAGGTGTAGTGCAGTTATTGCTTTATTGTTGGTGGTGCACCTCTTGTTCTTGTTCTCTCACCTATATGTTCCTTGTTTGTTATAGTGAAACCCTCTTTTGCTTGCTAAACAACTCTCTTGATACTCACCCTTCCTACCTAAACCCTAGGTCGCTAAGGTGTGAGCTATGAGGCTTTTCTTGACATGCTATTAGAGCAAGTAAGATCCTGCCCTGTTGTTTTTAACTACCCTATGGGCCCATCGCGGATCTCTCGTTTTATCCTGCCCGTCGCGCGCCCATTGCGAGCGTCGGTTCCTGCCCGATACGCGCCCCGGCTGCGCATCGGTTCCTGCCGATGCGCGCCCCAGCTGCGCGTCGATTCCTGCCCGATGCGCGCCCCGGCTGCGCGTCGGTTCCTGCCCGATGCGCGCCCCGGCTGCGCGTCCGTTCCTGCCCGATGCGCGCCCCGGCTGCGTGTCGGTTCCTGCCTGATGCGCGCCCCAGCTGCGCATCGGTTCCTGCCCGACGCGCGCCCTGGGCGCGCGTCGGTTTCTGTCAGCCGCGCGCCCCGTGCGCCCTGCTGCGGTGCGCGCCCGGCTGCTCCCCACTGCGAGTGCATCTGCAGCCGTAGAGCAGCCCCTATTCCGCCCCACCATTTCCCCCCCCCCTCTCCCTGCTGCTCGTGCAGCAGTTTTGGGGGGGGGGAGGGTGTGAAGGGGAGGCTGCACCTGCAGCACCAGCCTCCTCCCTCTCCTTGCTGCGCGTGCAGCAGTTAGGGGGGGGCTGAGGGCGTGACCCAACTACAGCAACTGCCGCCACACCTCCTCTCTCTCCTCAGTGCCGCTGCTGCTGCTGTTTGGGGGGGGTTGAGGGGGTGGTTTGAGTCTAACTGCAGCATCAGCCGCTTTCTCCTCAAATTGCCCTTTGCTACTTCCGCTGCACTCTTTGTGTATCCCTTCATGGGGCGTTTTACACTATCTCCTCCAAACAATAATGATGGCGTGTCAAAATATGTTGGCATATTTTTTATAATCGTTTGAAGGTGTAGTGTAGTTACTGCTTCATTGTTGGTGGTGCACCTCTTGTTCTTGTTCTCTCACCTATATGTTCCTTGTTTGCTAAAGTGAAACCCTCTTTTGCTTGCCAAACAACTCTCTTGATACTCACCCTTCCTAGCTAAACCCTAGGTCGCTAAGGTGTGAGCTATGAGGCTTTTTTTGACATGGCTGAGTGCCCGAAGTTCCTGCAGATTTTGCAGTAGAGGTGCCACGGCTTGCGTTCTTCTCTGTAGTCAACGTAGAATGCGATTCTCTCCCGTTCTCGTCGCGGTGCTGGTCGCTGCTGATCCATATCCCTTTGTTCGACAAGAAGGGCGGCGCATAAGGTGGCTTCCGAGATAACCCCTTGCTTTCGGAGTAGCGCCTTACAGGGCCGCCATCCAGGGTTGAGCCCTTGGAGCATAATATTCACGAAGATCTCTTCGGAGATGGTGGTGCCCGATTTCGCGATTTGATCGCAGCTCTGACAGCGATTGATGTAACTGTTGGCCTTCTTTCCTGGGGAAATTTTTGTCTCCAAAAGCTGCTGTAGCAGGCGGCTCGATGAAACCGAATCATTTGGTTGGTATACGCCGTTCAGATTTTGCCAAGCGTCTAGGGCTGGAGCAGATGTTGTCTTGTGCAATCGGATGCTCAGCTGCTCCGCCGGCGACATGTTTCGCAGTAAGACGCCGTACGCCACCATGACTCGATGTAATATTGAGCCATCGCGTCAGCGGTGTCTTCAGCAGGTCCCGCGTAGCTCCTGTCAAAGTAATGAAATATCTGCGTGTTTTGTAGCAGCAGCTCTAGCTCGCAGCTCCATGTATAGAAGTCTCTGCCGTAAAATTACACACTTGTCTTTACTTTTGATATGTTTAGGAACCTTGATTGAGCCGAGAGAGTTGCTTCTTCGCTGGGACGGGGAGTTTTGGGAGTTGAGCCATTCGTTTCGAGGGAGAAGGTGTGCGGGGCGGTATCGCGACCATTTGGGGCCGGTTGAGAGGGTTGGGAAGATGTTCCCGCGTCGCCATTCCGCAACGTTTGGAGTCCTTGCTCCAAGGTAGTGAGTTGCTGAAGCAGTTGTGTGAGGACGGCGGTCCCGATCGTCGTCGTCTCCTCGTTTGTCGTAGATGGGTTGGGATGCGCTTCAGCAATAAGATTTGTCTGACCTCCAGATCCTCCCACCATTCTTACGCGCGAGCATGTGGAGGACGCCACCTTTGTTCGCCGAATGTTTCGAAGGTGGCAGTGCAAAGGATTCCCGAGTCGCTCTCATACCGTATGGCCCTGGATAATAGCGCATAAGCGCTTATAATAAATTCAATTTTTGAGGGGGGGCACTTGTAATTGAATAACGGCCATAAGCGCCGGCGCTTATATAATGACAGATAAGAAATTATATATTTAGAGCACCAAATTGTTCATTTTCTTCTTGCCATTTCAACCGAGTCGAATTGTTTTAGCGTCACAAAGCAAAATCTCGCGCAAGTGATATTCTGGGTTCACACACAGGCAAAGACACGTCATGCCAGCACATCCTGACTGGACGCGATGTCAAACTACGTGCTGCTTGTTGTGTAGGCTGTATTGGGGTAGCCCATATGGGGTACAACCCAAATTAGGGTTTGCTACTTGTACCCATCCTGTTGCTAGTTCATTCATTCCTGTTCATTATTCTGACATGGTTTCAGAGCAGGTCCTAGCCTAGGACCGATCTCTTAGGGCCCACCGAATAGCGCTACCCCACCCGTCGCGCTAGTGTGATCACGTCGTACTGCCCTGCCCTGCACTGTCCTGCCCTGCCCTGCCCTGCCCTGCGCTGCCTGCTGCAGCGCGCACTGTTTTGCGGGTGCGCAGACTGCTGCAGCGCGCCCTGCTGAGTCGCGCGCCACCTGCTGCAGCGCGCCCTGCCCTGCCCGCGCGCCGTGTCGCCCTGCCCGCCGCGTCGCCCTGCCCGCGCGTCGCGCCGCGCGCCCTGCCTGCACCCGCGCGCCGCGCCGCCGCGCGTCCTACCCTGCCCGCGCGCCGCGCTGCTGCGCGCCTCTGCCCTGCCAGCACGCCGCGCGCCTCTGCCCTGCCTGCGCGCGCGCCTCTGCCCTGCTCGCGCGCGTGCCTCTGCCCTGCCCGCGCGCGTGCCTCTGCCTTGCCCCCACGCGCGCCTCTGCCCTGTTCGCGCGCGCGCCTCTGCACTGCCCGTGTGCGCGCCTCTGCCCTGCCCACGCCGCGCGCCTCTGCCCTGCCTGCGCGCCGCGCCGCGTGCCCTGCCTTGCTCGCGCGCAGCGCCGCCCCGCGCCTCCACCCTGCCCGAGCGCCACGCCGCACGCCTCTGCCCTGCCCGCGCGCCTCTGCCCTGCCCGCGCGCCTCTGCCCTGCCCGCGCGTCGCGCCGCCGCGCGCCTCTGCCCTGCCATGCGCGCCCTGCCCTGCCGTGCGCCCTGCCCTGCCGTGAGCGCCACGCGCCGCTCTATGCTGCACTGCTGCTAGCGCACTCCCCTACCTAGCCCTGCCTGCGTGCTGCTAGCGCGCCCGACTACTCCGATCGCTATGGCCACTCTCAACGTTCTCACCTTCGATTCGGAGGGCCGCCCGATAGAATTCAATGCGTGGCTAGACGACTTACAACTGTTCCTGCTGACAGACTCTAAGGACAGTACCTCGCTGTTTGACCTCACTTCTGGCGCCTCGCCCGCCCCTGACGCTACAGCTAACAGTGCGACCCGCTCATAGTGGCTTATATGTGACCCTGCTGCTCGCCTAGCCGTTCGCAACCACCTGCCGTTAGCCGAACGCGCCCACTTTGGCCAGCATAGACAGCTAAAGCATTGTACGGCGCCTTAGTCGCTCGTTAATCCTCCCCGGCCCTGCTGCTCTAGGCCACCTTCTCCTGCCCTACCTGTTCCCAGACCTGTCCGCCTTTGCCATAGTAGCCGACCTAGTTACTCACCTTCACACAAGTGACACTCGCTACCGTGCACCGCTCCCCGCCGAGCTTCTCACCAAGAACCCCCCCCCCCCCCCATGTACATCACGCTCTACTTCAGAGTCACCCGCCTCCCCGACTCTCTTACCGCAGTCAGGGACCTCCTCCTAGAACTTGACCCCACCGACCTCACTGTCGACCTGCTCGAGAAGCACCTCCTAGCAGCTGAGACTAGCATAGTCGCTGTAGGCGCTTCTCATGGCACTCCTCGCACCCCCTTCTTTGAGGGGTGTTCGCCCTCCCCCCTTCTCCCCTCAGTCGCCTCTGCTGCAGCTGTTGACTACCTTCGTGCTAAGGAGGTAGGAGCTGCGTCTGCCCCTAGTGGGAGGCGCCGCAACTGCAGGGGCAGAGGAGGCAGGGGCGGTGGGGGAGGCAGAGGTGGAGGCGGTGGTGGGGGCGGTGGAGGCGGTGGTAGGGGCGGCGGTGGAGGAGGTAATGGTGGTGGGGGCGGCGGGGCAGGTGGCGGCGGTGGTGGCGGCAGTGGGAGTGGTGGCGGCAGCGGTAGTGGCGGCGGTAGTGGCGGCAGTGGGGGTGGAGGCGGTGGCAGTGGGGGCGGCAGGGGTGGCACCAGCCAGAGGGGAGGCCTTGCAGGTGGCCAGCGGCAGCAGCAGCGTCAGCCCCTTTCGTCTCGGGAGCTCCGTGAGTGGTTTGCTCAGCGTGAGGCGGCTGGGGGTAGTGGTCCCTGCCCGTATGTCATTCGCACAGGTGACCGCACTGGTCAGACATGCGGGAGGTCTCACACTCAGCACCGCTGCTTCTACCGCCTTACCGACGCCTTCCGCGCAGAGTTCCCCGACGCGGCTGAGCTCCCCGACTGGGCAGCGCTGCTTAGGCAGAATGTTGATATCTTTGCTCTAGACTTTGATGCTATCCTATCTGCCATGTATGCATTGACTGTTGGTGCTGAGGGTGACTGTTACCTGTGTATGCCGCCAGACCCAGGTATAGAGGCTGCTATTCTAGGTGCTGGTGAGTCTGCTGCCCTAGGTGCTGGTGAGTCTGCTCTCTCTGGTACTGCGTCTGCTGCGGCCTTGCACACCTTCACGCTTGACTCAGGTGCCTCCCGCTGTTTCTTTCGCGACAGTACCACAGTCACACCGCTTACTGCACCTGTGGCTGTGTCTTTGGCTGACCCCTCTGGGGGCCCAGTCCTTGCACGTTCCTCCACTGTTCTGCCCTGTTCGGCGGTTCCGTCTGGGTCACTGTCAGGTCTCCACCTCCCCTCGTTCTCTACGAACTTGGTGAGCACTGCTGTCCTCCAAGATGCGGGGGTTGACACCTTCACCCTTGGACGGCAGCGTGTGGCGATCTGTACGTGCTCCCGGACGGGTCGCCACCTGGCCACGTTCTCCCGTCGTCCTGGGTCGAGTTTGTACACACTGACTACTGCGCCTCCTCAGGTAGTTGCGTCTAGGTCTGTATCAGGTCAGCTTGGGGCCCCCTGCTCGTGTCACGCCCTGTCGCACCAGACGCTCCTTTGGCACCACCGTCTTGGACACCCCTCCGTGGCACGCCTCCGTGGCATGCACTCCCGTCTCCTTGTCTCTGGTCTTCCCAGGTCTCTGCCTCCACTCCCACCGTCGCCTGCCCTTCCATGCCTTCCCTGTGTCGAGGGGCGGCAGCGCGCCGCTCCTCACTCCTCCTCGTTCTCCCCGACAGAGGCTCCCCTGCAGACTCTCCACCTGGACGTGTGGGGCCCAGCCCGAGTCCGTGGACAGGGCCACGAGCGGTACTTTCTGCTGGTTGTCGACGACTACTCGCGTTACACCACGGTCTTCCCCTTGCGCCGCAAGGGGGAGGTCCCTGATGTTCTGATCCCTTGGATCCGCGCTGTTCGTCTCTAGCTCCGCGAGCGGTTCGAGACGGACCTTCCAGTCCTGCGTCTGCACTCTGACAGAGGTGGTGAGTTTTCCTCCGACCTCTTGCGGGCCTTTTGTCAGGCGGAGGGCATTCGCCAGACGTTCACGCTTCCGGCCTCTCCGCAGCAGAATTGGGTTGCTGAGCGCCGCATTGGCTTAGTCATGGAGGTTGCTCGTACCTCCATGATCCATGCGGCTGCCCCCCTTTTTCTGTGGCCGTTTGCAGTCCAGTATGCTACGCATCAGCTCAACCTCTGGCCGCGTGTCTCCTTGCCGGAGACCACGCCCACACTGCGTTTGACGGGGGAGGTTGGCGATGCGTCGCTGTTCCGGGTCTGGGGATGTCGAGCTCTTGTCCGCGATACGTCCGCGGACAAGCTCTCCTCCCGCGCCGTTCCCTGTATCTTCCTTGGCTTTGTCCCTGACGCGCCTGGCTGGCAGTTTTACCACCCCACCTCGCGCCGTGTCCTGCCCTCTCAGGACGTCACGTTTGACGAGTCGGTTCCCTTTTACCGTCTCTTCCCCTACCGTACTGCCCCTCTCCCTCCTCCGCCGCTCTTCCTAGCACCAGGTCCTCATCCGGTAGACCCCCTCCCCCCTCAGGGTCCTGCTCCCTCAGGTGTGTCCCAGGTAGACCCTATCGAGCCTGTCGAGGTAGCTGTCGACTCTGGTGCTGCTAGAGGTGGTTTGTCGGAGGGTGCTGAGTCTGGGGGTGCTGAGTTTGAGGGTGCGGAGCGTGGGGGTGCTGAGGCTGGGGGTGCTGAGTCAGAGGGTGCAGAGCCTGGGGGTGCTAAGCCTGAGCGTGCGGAGCCTGGAGGTGCTGAGCCTGGGGGTGCTGAGCCCGAGTGTGCTGAGCCTGGAGGCCCTTCGGGTGTCTTGTCACGGCCAGAGTCTCTCTCTCCACTACAGCTGCGCGAGTGGTTTGCACGGCGCTAGAGCCGCCAGTCCCAGAGGTGCTCGTACTGGAGGTACTGAAGCCTCCAGCGGCCAGTCTACGGTCTCCGCCAGGCGCCCCGCGAGTGGCACGACACCCTGAGGACGACTCTTGCGGCTCTTGGGTTTGCTCCTTCTACTGCTGACCCGTCGCTGTTTCTACACACCGACACTTCACTGCCGCTGTTCTACATCCTCGTGTACGTCGGCGACTTGGTCTTTGCCACTGGTGACACTGCTGGACTGGCCCACGTGAAGTCAGAGCTGCAAAAGAGACACACGTGCACAGACCTGGGTGAGCTGTGTAGCTTCCTTGGCTTGCAGATCACCCGGGACAGAGCACGGCGCACCATTACCTTGACTCAGTCACACATGGTGCAGCAGGTCCTTCAGCGCTTCCGCTTCGAGTACTCCTCGCCACAGCTCACTCCTCTGCCTACCGGTCACTCGCTCTCAGCTCTGCCTTCGGATGAGTCCGTAGGGCCGAGTGGCCCGTATCCAGAGCTTGTGGGCTGCCTCATGTACCTGATGACCTGCACTAAACCTGACCGTGCTTACCCTCTTAGCATCCTGGTACACTACGTTGCGCCCGGGAAACACCGACTAGAGCACTGGAAGGCCGCTAAGAGGGTGATGCGCTACTTGTGCAGTACGTCGGGCATGGGGCTCGTGCTTGGAGGACGGGGTCCAGTTGTCCTCAGTGGTCACGCAAACGCTTCTTGGGTTAACAACTTGGCTATGCAGCGGTCGTCACAGGGTTACACCTTCAGCCTTGGCTCCGGTTCTGTTTCGTGGCGGTCTACCAGCTCAATTCTGTTCTCAGCTCCAATTGTGAGGCTGAGATCTACGTAGGGGCCATGGCTGCATAGGAGTTGCGCTGGCTCACCTACCTGCTGACCGACTGGGGAGAGCCGCCTCGTTCTCCTCCAATTCTGTACGTTGATAACAAGGCCATGATTGCCTTGTGTCAGGAGCACAGACTGGAGCACAGAACGGAGCACAAAGCTCTGCGCTACTTCCTTGCTCAAGAGTTGCAGCAGCGTGGTCAGCTTCGTCTTTCTTACGTGGCCTCTCAAGCCAACACTGCTGATATCTTCACCAAGGCACTTCCGCCTTGTGATCATCAGCGTTTCCGTACTGCTCTAGGCCTTGTGCCTACCTGGCCTCACTTGCTCACTTCTTGACTTTGCTTGTACTATGATCTATATATTTATACCTGCATGCTTACACTTGCTAGGTTGTGATCACTGTACTGTTTTCTCTCCTTTATATATAACTCTGCATGTGAACTGGCCTTGTGGCCATTTGCTTGTGCTGAGATTGTGTGGTGACTTCGTGATCCACCCTGAGCTTGCTTTGCCTTTCTTGACTGGTCTTGTGACCTCTTGTTCTCCCCCACTTTGCCTATGGGGGTGTGTTAAACTATGTGCTGCTTGTTGTGTAAAGCCGTAGTGGTAGCCCATATGGGGTACAACCCAAATTAGGGTTTGCTACTTGTACCCATTCCGCTGCTAGTTCATTCATTCCTGTTCATTATTCTGACACGCGAAGCCAGTCAGGTCTTCGCGAGTCAAACGAAGCGAAAATGAAATCTGACTCACTGCAAAAATGTATTTCGTTACCGTTTTAAGCAAGAATTTAGATTAAAATTGCACGTGCGCTTATAAGTAAAGGTTTTCTAGGGGGGGGGGGGGTGTTAAAGTTAGAACAAGGAATGATGACTAGAAAGGGAACAGTACAAGGTTTGTATAGGCAAAACCTATCAGGGCAGAACCCCATAAGCAGTGCCCCACTACAGCCTAGCGTATAGTTCTGAGACACCCCCATAGGCAAAGTGGGGGACAAGCAACAGAACAAGGCAAGGTCAAGCTCAGGGTGGATCACGACGTCACCACGCATTCTGAGCATAAGCAAAGAGGCCACAAGGTCAGTTCACATGCAGAGTTATATATCAAGGTGAACAAGCAGTACAGTGATCCCAACCTAACAAGTGTAAGCATGCAGGTGCATGTATAGATAGATCACAGTACAAGCAAAGTCAAGAGGTGAGCAAGTGAGGCCAGGTAGGCACAAGACCTAACAGAGTATAGAAACGCTGATGATCACAAGGCTGAAGTGCCTTGGTAAAGATATCAGCAGTGTTGGCCCGAGTGGCCACGTAAGTAAGACGAATTTGACCACGCTGCTGCAACTCTCGAGCAAGGAAGTAGCGTAGAGCGATGTGCTTCATTCTGTGCTCCACTCTATGCTCCTGACACAAGGCAATCATGGCCTTGTTGTCAACGTACAGAACTGGAGGAGAACGAGGCGGCTCTCCCAAGTTGGTCAGCAGGTAGGTGAGCCAGCGTAACCCCTGTGCAGCCATGGCCCCTGCGTAGATCTCAGCCTCACAACTGGAGCTGAGAACAGAAGACGAGCGGGTAGACCGCCACGAAACAGAGTCGGAACCAAGGCTGAAGGTGTAACCTTGTGACGACCGCTGCGTAGCCAAGTCGTCAACCCAAGAAGCGTCTGCGTGACCAGTGAGGACAACTCGAGCCTGTCCTCCAAGCACGAGCCCCATGCCCGACGTACTGCACAGGTAGCGCAACACCATCTTAGCTGCATCCATGTGCTCTGGTCAGTGTCTCCTAGGAGCAACATAGCGTGCCAGGATGCTAAGAGGGTATGCCAGGTCAGGTCGAGTGCAGATCATCAGGTACATGAGGCAGCCCACAAGCTCTGGCTATGGGCCACTCGGCTCTACGGACTCATTCGAAGGCAGAGCTGAGAGCGAGTGGCGAGTGTTGAAATGTATTCGTATAGATTTGTAAATGCCTAGAGTAGAGCCTAGTGTCGTTATATTAGTTTCCTGTTTGGTGGTGCACCATTTGCCCATTTCCTTGACTATATTTTGTATGCCCTCTATCATTGAAACCTCTTTGGCTAAACTTCTCTCTCAAGTCTCCTCCTACCCCAAACCCTAGTGTTCACTTAGTCTACTCTCTTGACATGGTTTTAAGAGCTAGGTTATCCTAAGACCTATTTTTTTCCCCATGGGCCCACCACGTATCCCCCCGCTCATGGCGCACGTCACGCCCCCCGTCGCGGCCGTAGTTACGACGGTTGCAATGGTCGCGACCGTCGAAACGGTCTCGTCCGTCCCGTCCGTGACGCCCTCCCCGTCATGCCCGTTGCGCCCTGCTCGTCGCGCGAATCGCCTGCCCCGCCCGGTTCTGTCACGAACACAGCAGCGGCCGCGCGCAGCTGCGTACGGCCGCGCATTGCTGCGCGCAGCCGCGAATGACCGTGCGCACCCGCGCACGGCCGTGTGCGCCAGCACCAGCGCCCGTCGCCAGCACCTGCGCGAGCGCCAGCGACGACGCCAGCGCCAGCAGCAGCTACCACCGCCCCCCCCTTCCCATCCGCAGCTTCCGCCGTGGGGGGGGGAGAGATGTGGGGGTGGCGGGTGTGAGTTGCCTGCAGCCCGTCCTTCCTCTCTCTTCAGCGGGGTCCGTCGTGAGGGGGTTGAGAGGTTGCGGGGGGAGGGTGAGGGGAAAGGGAGAGAGTGTGAGGGAGTAACGAGAGAGATTCTGCCAAGCCAGCAGCCGCCCCTCCTCCTCTCTATCCCACAGCCGCGCGTGCCGCTGTAGGGGGGAGGGTGAGGTGGTGGCGGAAGTCAGCCAGGCATCTGCAGCTGCCGCCCGTTGCTACAGTGGCACCTCCTGCTGCCACCCCTGCCTCCAATTGTCTGTTTCTTCTGTTGTCTACTGCTGTTGAGCAGCAGGTGCTGCCGTTGAGCCCTGCTGTGCCGCCGCACGTTGCCGCCGCACGCACCTCCTCTCCAGGCGCCCTGCCGCCACATGCACCTGCTTCTGCTGCTTGTACCTTGGCTGAGGGGTTGGTGCAGCTGAATTTGCCACCACTACCCCAAACCCTAGTGTTCACTTAATCTACTTTCTTGACAGCGAGTAGACAGAGGAGTGGCCTGAGGCGAGGAGTACGTAAAGTTGAAGCACTGAAGGACCTGCTGCACCATGTATGACTAAGTCAAGGTAATGGTGCGCCGTGCT